TCATGTAGAGTAGTTTGATCTGTCTGTTTACCAGAAGAGGAAATACATCTATCCTAGATCCTGGTGATGCTGGTTCTCCAGTCATATGTAAACTGTATTCTTAATCTGCCTGCTACCAGGAAGAGAACTGGGGCCTTCCTGAATTACTGATACATAGATGGCAACTGTCATTTTCAGATGTAGAAATTACCCTTTTTTACTAAGAAAAGTGCATTGTTAAATGAACTGGAGTTTCACACTAGTATATAAGACCATGACCACTTCCAGATGGGGAGGCAGTCTTAGAAGTGACTCGCTGTCTCCCAGATCTGTGTAATAAAGTGCATTTATGGATAGTGCAGTTTTTCATACCAGATCCTTCCCATTTCCCTCAACTCCCCACCCATCAAATTGTACAACCCCATAATTAACGCCTGCCCCCCTGCACATCCTCACCCATCTGCTCCCCCCTTTCCCCACTTTAATCCTCATACTCATTCTACAATAATGGTTTTTACATCCTACAATAACACCACAGTACTTGTCCTTGTGGGACTGAATTAATTCACTCAGTATAATGCTCTTCAGTCTCTCTCAAGTTAGAAAATACTACTATACTGGTTTAAGTACAAAGTTCATAAAATTCATATGCATTATTTTTCATACCAGAATAGGGTGGTATTAATAAATTCAGAATTCTTTATATATATCAGTTATAAAACTAGTTCCTTTTTTTCAGCTTGCAAAACTAGATTCCTAGCCTCCAAATTCTGTTTCCTGTCTTTAGTCATGTAGTTTGATCTGTTTACCAGAAGAGGAAATGAATCTCTCCTAGATCTGAGGCTGTTTCTTAAACTGCCTGTTCGCCAGGATGAGAATTGTGTCCTTCCTGAATTACTGATACTTAAATGTGAACTGTTCTTTTCAGATGTAGAAATTACTTTTTTATACTAACAAGCACATTGTTAAAGGAGCTAGTGTTTCACCCTAGTATAAAACCCAGTGACCACTCCCAGACGGGGAAGCAGTCTTGGAGGTGATTCCCTGTCTCCCAGATCTGTGTAATAAAATGTTTATGGATATTGCAATCTGTTTGTCTTATTGGCGATAGACTATGCAAAGAAACCCTAGTGTTCAGTAAAAAGACTTGTCCCCTTTCCTTTAGCAATTTCTTCCCCGCCAGTAGATAGCATTTTTTTCCTTTTTTTTAATTTAAAATGTGGGTTTTTTTTGATATTTATTTTTATTGTTTTATTTTTACGTGTACCGTCAAATCAGATCTGACTGGTACAGGAGATTGCCCCCTCCTTCTCCAGCAGAGCATCTGGTGGATTTGAACCGTGTACGTCTGGGATTGCAGTGCAGCGTCTTGCCACTAGGCCACCAGAGCTCCTTATTTAAAATGTTTTAATAATTATTATTAATTTCAACGAACATCTACAGAGATTTTGTAATTCCATTTGTTCATTGCTGCACTTTTAAGGCCTTTTTTTTTCAATAGCAGAGGAACTCAAAGAGTGAGCCTGTAAACCAGCAATCATGTACCCCAAATAGAAGCCAGTTGCTTTACAACCTAATCTTGGATATGGAAATCTCTATACTTCTGTATTGTATTCATCTGCAAAAACGAGTACCGTGCCTAAATTCTAAGGGAAAGGATACACAAGAGTGTTACAGACCGAGGGTAAAGTATATTAATAACTAATAACGAGACAAAACATCAAGAAGTATAACAGCATAAAAAACGGGTCCAGCAGTTCAAATCGCTATGCCTCTCTGTGTATTTATTGAGAATCAGAGGAAGCAAATCATAAAGAGAGTTCTCTTGTAAATGAAGCCAAATTTCTCTCTATTGTCAACCTAATGCTTAGCTCAGGAAATAAGTATTTCACAGGTATAGACTCTTATGCTCCCTCTGCATGCTACCTCTTGTCTGCAGGAAGCAGCTCATTTCCTGTGATCTGATACAAGACAAATTCCAACTTACATGATTCCTTCAATTCCTGAATAAGCATATGGTTTTTCATATAATATTTGGTATAAAATTTATCTTCCCATACAAGAGGAAAATCTTGAGGTGGGAATTATTGTTATATTAGAAATATCAACACAAATTTTGACATTTTGTTTATTAAACATGACTGAGCCACTACATTTGCGTTTCTCAGTAATAATGGTTAGATCAACCACGAAGAAACCTCATCAACTAGTACTGCAGAGAATCAACGTATTTTTTTTTTAGAATTTCTTAAAAATACTGAGATACTCTGTTTCAAAGAATAAATAAACTTTATTGCAAATTTATGACACAATCTACTTAACCAGTAAGTAATCCTTCTGCAGGAGCGGTGTTATAGAAGATGGTTATTTATTGACTCTCTAGAATAATTTTGTTCTTGGTTGTATTATTTTCAGAATTCTAGAAATAGTTTCTATTTGTTAAACTCTTAAATTGGAGAATGAGTAGAAAAGTATATAGGCAACATCTGGTACAGTCAGGATGCAGAGCAATGTATGTTTTTTGGAACTAGCAAGAGTTACAGATTTTTTCTGTTAGGAGCATATTATTAACTCCATCCCTACTTAACTACTTAAATAGCTTAAAATGTAGTCAGACCTACCTTGAATAGAAAATAAAATGCACAGTTTTAAAAAACTGCAAAATGATATTTATTTACATTAAAATGTAAATTACCTGTATATGCACAAAATTGAGGCACAATCTGCGATACACAGTAACTATAATATTTGGTACATTTTACATGAAATAGCTTCTGTTGATAAGTTAGTGGTTTAAGTGAAAACATAGTACCAAAAACATCCTGATATAAATTACTCATTCACATTTTCTACTCAGACAAGATGTTTTAAAAGGTATGCACTTTAAAAAACACTAGCTAGATGTACAATTAAAGTTTATTCAGTTTTCTTTGTAAAAAAAGTCTTCAGATTTTTACACATGTATGATCCACTTCAGGATGAATTAATATTAATAAAACAAACCAACTACACAGATTTCAAAATTCTTTCTAGTTTCTAAGGCATGACTTAGAGTAGACATTCTTTATTAAGATTCAGAGACTATGCTAAATTACTGCCCCAAATCCTAACACTGCCATCCATGTTTCAGATTATTTCAATTCCAATTTGACTATGAAATTAACTAGTTTTTCAAATGGTTTCCTTAAAAAGTACAGATTGTACTCAAATATTTAAGTTTTAACCTTTAATAAATTAGTTTTAAACTTAAAACAGATGTTTTTATGAAGAGATTCTAAGATAAACTGAATAGTTTTAAGCAAAGACTTTGATCAACTCTAAAATGCATTAAAGATTTCTATTTAAAGTCTAAAAGAATACTTACGCATATTCCTAACAGAGTGGGCCTTTCTTTAGCATTTCTCCATTAGCTCTAAAGTAAAATACAGCAGACTTTTTTCTACGTACCTACTATAGTTATTCTGGACACAAAGCATTTGATTGAAATCTGTGCAAAAAGCAATTTCATTGCTTAGAAACATTTTTTTTATCAGATTTGCAAAAGACCAACAACAAAATTCATCTCTTTAGAATGGAAAGCGGTAATATTTAAATCTGCTTAATTTTGAGTTATCCGAGTTCTCTTCTTCAGAGACTGTAAAGTAAATTCAATACCTTTCAAACTGAACAAGAGATGAAGGAAATACACTTTATATTAACATATTGACCAGAGTGTAATTTCTTATATTAGTATAAACTATACTTCTACTAATGTGAAATATTTATTTATATTCTCAATATGGACATCACAGAAACAGACTGCCATATACATATGCCCCCTCCTATCTTGGTCTGTTTTTCTAAAATGAAAGAAAAAAAAAAAAGCTGTTACAAATGCTTAGATTTCAGATTTCCAAATTATTCCCAACATTTGTACAATTTTCATTCTAGTTAGACATTCAAGGATAAAAAAAGACTAAATAACTTAAAATGTTTAATAGGGGAACATTATGAGTGCTTTTAAAACTAATCACGTGATTTCCCCCCATTGATAAATAAACATGGTGGAAAATCACAATAATATAAAGTACTATTCGATAACTGCAACTTGGGATGAATTCTACATTACTGTCTGGAAAAAAAAAAAAGAAAAGCAAAACCAATATAGCAGCAAATTACCTAAGTCTTCACAGGTATTAAATAGCAAAAATACAAAAAGGAAAGCTTTTACTGTGCCAGTAACACACTGTAAAGACATGCTTAATAATTTCCAATTAATTTCAAGTACAACAGAACTACAGAACTCCAAGCAGGGAATGATGTACAGCAGATTTTGGATTAGAATAGAAATTAGGTATTTCTATTATATCATACTGAAAAATTTGAATTAACCTATAGCTATTTTAGAAAGAAAATAAATTGCCTCATCTGGTAAATAAATCAAGAAATCTGGAAAATAAAAATTACTTGAATAAGATTAATAATGGGACACTGAATTTATGAAAGTATATTTCCTATATAACATGGCAATAAATTATATAAGCAGCTTATGTCAGTAATACTGTTATCTTCCAGCTGATGCCAACTACCTGACATCCACACTTTCTTTCCATTATAGTTCAAATGAATAGTTACATGTGATAACTTAAGTAATTAATCACCAGCTCCTACTAATACAATTTAGTAAGAACTGGAAATCTTAAAATTGGTATTTTTACAGAATGCAATTTTAAATTATGATTATCTACTTCCAGAATCCAGACAAACAGCCACCCATGCTGCTACAGTTTTTTATCATCTTTATCTATTATTTTAGAAAGGACTTGTTAGAATGAAACCTCTCCAAAATCAACTTAGGAGTACTCTCTTCACATCTCCTCCTAAACAAAATAGAATGCAGAAATGTCATGTAGATATGTAAGGAATGTTTCTTTCAAGGTAACATTTTAAGATATTATCGATATGTTCTGTTCTGGAGGTGGTGACTGACAAAAGGGAAGAAGTCATCAAATGATCACAAATAATAACTATTTTGCCATAGTTCAGTTGAAGTTGGTTTTTTGTACATGCTTATTGGGAATTTCTAAAGCACTGACTTGGAGAGGCCAGGAGCCACCATCAATTCCTGCTTGGATAGCCACTCCTGTCACCACTGCTAGGTCAGGGTCTACCGAAGTGTTGGGATCCTTTCCAAAGAACTCCTGAATGACCTGGCGGATTCGAGGAATACGTGTAGAGCCTCCAACTAAAACCACCTCATCTATCTCAGTCTTCTCCACATGGCCTTCTTTTAATACTTGTTGAATGGGCACTAGTATTTTCTGGAATAGATCTTCATTGAGGGTGTCAAAGAGTGTCCGTGATATTTCTGTTTCAAACAAAATTTTATTTTCTCTGCCCTTCTTATCAGACAGATCAGCTCCAAACACCCTGTTCACATGACGGTCCTGTTCTGGAGAGAGTGTGTCCTTTCCCAGCTCAGTGTCACTTTTCTGAGGTTCACTTTTGTCCTTCTCCTCCACGGAGAGTAACACGGACATCTGTGCTGACTGATGAAGCGTCAGGTTTAATTTCACCATTTCCACAGCTTGTCTTAATCTGTGGATTTCCTCTTTTCTAGAAGGAATGAACCCATACATTTGATAGATCTGTTTATAGATATACTGGAGCAATCGCTGATTGAAGTCTTGTCCTCCAAGTTTATTGTTTCCTAAGTTAAAAAGAAACATATTTTTGCTTATTTATTGCATGTCTGTTGGTGTATGTCTAAAAATATTCTGGGAATAATTTATCATTTCTTATAAAGATTTTATCAAGAGAGAGACTAATTTAAAATAACGGGTTAAAAGAATTTCAACCCAAATATATACTATTAAAAAAACTGTTGCTTACATAAATTAATATAAGAAAGTATCTCATACTAAATAATTTTTCAGAAAATAGAGACTGAGAACACAATTGGTTTTTAAGTAACCATTTAAAACCACCAAAGGTCATTATTCCCAACAGAAAAAAAACCCCAGTTCTTATAATTAAAAATTAATAAAATAAAAACTTTATGTTGTTATTTCTGTTGGTATGATTAAGAGTAAAGAAACAGGAAAAAAGGCTAACACATAAAGTAGTGTAAATCTCTGGCACTTGAACTTGGTTCTAATGAGAATCCGGTTAAGAAAAGGGAAAATGTCGAAGTGAGACTACACATAACTTAAAATTCAACTTCTCAAATGAGCTTAATTCCTTTGGAAAAAAAAAATCTATAAAAAAGATTTAGAATGCAAAATTCTATCATTTCCTATTATTAATATCAATGATACTGATCATTATTAGTAATATCATTATTGATATAAATAATATGATTATTAGTATAATTTCCTCCTTTGGAAGCAGGAGTGGCATCCACTTCCTAAACATGCCTCTGGAAACTCTATGAACTTTGACAAATTATAGTTATCGAAAGGCTTCAGGTCTTTTGTTCATAGGGTCACTATGAGTCTTGCTCAACTCGACAGCAAACAACATTATTAATGATGATAAAGGGTA